TTTAAAAGAAAATTTTGAGTTAATATCTTCCCTCAACAATGGTTAAAAATATTTTAAATTTTAAGGTGAAGTGCATATGCATCCAAGTTCGGAAAAATTATATATAAGATAATATTTAGTTGAGTATTTATTCTACTCTTTAATTAGAACCAAAGTTCCAATTTCACTTATAACATTATTTTCTTAAAAGAATATATTTAGAAGTTATTTTTGGCAAAAAAATGTCTTAATAAATAAAAAGGAAATTAATTGTATAATCCAACTGTTTAATTTTATCTGCCATATTTGCTAAGGTATGCAAGAATATGCATATTTTATTTTGTATGAAACTAGCATAGGGAATAAGTTTATTGTTTAAATATATATATATGAGAAAATATTCCCTTGCACTATTTTAATTGGAAAAGCTAAAATAGGTAAATAATGCTTGGGCTGTTTTGTACATTGGCCCCTAAGGTAATTTTTAAATATATATATGCTTACATATATAAGTAAAAATAAAACATTAAATTTTAGGGTTAATTATATGATTGATCACTTATGTTTGGGTTTTTTTCACTTTTCCTCACTGATTTTAAAAAACATAATATATGGTCACTTTCGTTTCTATTTAATTAATATGGATCACTACGAGTTAACTACCGTTAAATATTTTTGGGATAATCACACATTTCGACCATGTTATTTACATATTCTCTCAATTTAGTCCTACTTTTAATAAATTAAAATAAATTTAATTCTTCAATTGAATGATGCCATATGTCACTGGCACTAAGTGTCGTGTAACGTGTCACCATTCAGTTTAGAGGACCAACTTTATTTTAATTTATTTTATTTTAATATTTTTATTTTAATATATGGTTAACTTTATTTTAATAAATCAAATATATTAAATTAAAATAAAGTTACTTCTCTAACCAAATGGTGACATGTGACACACACATGGCACCAATGACACGTGAAATCATTCGGTTGGAGGATTAAATTTATTTTAATATATTAAAACTATGGCTAAATTGAGAGAATATGTAAATAACATGGACCAAATGTGTGATTATACCAAAATGTCACATCATCTAATTTGTTAATTTTTAATTATTGTTAACTCGTGGTGATCATATCTTAACTAAATAAAAATAAAAGTGTCCGTATCTTAATTAAATAAAAATAAATTGACCAAATATTTTTTTGAAATCATGAGAAAAATTGGACAAAACGCATACAAAAGTGATCAATCGTGTATTTAAACCTAAATTTTATTATAAAATTATCATGACCCTAAGTGAAGTTTGATAGAAAAACACTCCCGTAGTTTTATATGTTTCCTTTTCATTTATATAAAAATAGAGAAAACGAATAATAATTTAATAATAATTTAAATTAATTTCAAAATAATGAATTATTTTTAATTTTTAAATTTCCTTTTCTGTTGGCAGTGTAAAAACACACTTTATAGGTTATATTAATTTTCTTAGGCATTTTAATTTCTTTCAACCGAAAACAATAAAATGTTAATGGTTTATAGCTTTATGAGAAACTGTTACTAGTCATTCCATTAAATTACATAAAATATGAAAGGGATTAGAAATCAATCAAGTTAATTTCATGTGATAATTCTTCTCTTGATATTTCGACAACATATATATTCTTGTGGTCCAAGCCTTGGTGTAGAAATGAAAATAACATATTAATCATTTTTTGTTAATGAAAGATTAGTAGGTTACTTTATTTTTTTAATTTACATATGTGAACTTTTAATGTTCTATGAAAGTGGTCCCAAAACCAAATTTAACCAATTTTTTTGCCATAGATTTTTAATTTTAAAGATTAGCACGATACCATATGCTCCATTCCCTAAAGAAAACTAATTTATATCTTTCTCGTACAAGCCCTTACCCTCCGTAAGGACGGGACCATTCAAAGGTTTAAATAGTATTTTAAAATCTAATAATTTTTTTTTATAAAAATGATACAAGTGATAATATTATAATAATTGTATTTCTGGAAAGTATAATATTAGTTAAGACGGTAGATCTCACCCCACTCTGTTGATAGAATATGATCATTTCTTCATCAATGTTGCTTAATAAGAGAACAATTCACAACCTATAAAGTTTAAACCTTTGAATGAAATTTCATAGAAGACTTGGATTAATGTGAGAAATATAATCCCAAGATATTTTAAGGTCCTTGAAAAGAGTAAGAAATGGTCAATTTTATTTATTTTGTTGTTGTTGGATCTTACTCTCACAACTTATACAAAGAATAAATAAGCTTAATACTAAAATATTTTTTTTAATTTCTTTTTGACTGATGTGGAATTGATCTAACCCTACCATTGCACTAGAGGGTCTGGTTATTTAAATTTATATCGAAATTCAAATATATTTAACAATGACTACTCAAATTGAAAATCTTAGAAACACATAAACCAAAATCAATCTCATCATCTAAAGCGTTTCCTTATATAAATTATATAATATTTTGATTTAAAACGGTCTATTAGCTCAGTTGGTTAGAGGTCGTATTAATTAATGTGAAGGTCGCAGGTTTGAGACAATCATGGGCCGTTAATTTTTTATATCTTGATAGAAAACGCTGCCGTTTATTAATTCGGTTGTCTTTTACCTAGGCCTAATATTTATATGTTTGGGCCTCTTCTCAATGGAGTAATTGGGCTTCATCTTTCTTGCATAATGCGTTTCGCTCTACCATTTAAAGAAATTATAAATATAGTATTTCTTTCAAATATTCTCAATTATTTGACAATGAAAGATTAATCATTATGATGCAGTCTTTCGTGCTCGAACCCATAACTTTTAAAAACAACAACGATTACTTTAACTACTGAGGTAAATTGATTCGTACTCTATTTTGTTTTTTTTAATAAATGAATAGAAATTTATGAAATAAGTGTTATTTTTATAAAAATAAATCGTTATTTTAGTATTTTATTTTATATCACGTTGTCACACGATACATATTATATATTGACCGTGATCGATTTAAAAATACTTCATTTTTCCGAAAAATATATAAGGATAAATCATGAGAGTTAACATGTAACGTACATGGTTTTTCTTCTACTTTCATTTATATGATTATTTTAGTCTATTGGTAATGCATTTTCTCTGTGTTTATTCTTATTTTTTACAACTTCATTAAAAATAACACTTCCACTAATCAAACGCGTAAATTTGATTTCATATTGGTAATCATCATTTTTCAATTAAATCATATGAAAAGAGAAAGTAGAGAAAGATGTCGAAACTGAATGAAACCTCTATTCAGTTACTTTTAGGGGAGGTTTGGTTCACGAATGTAATATAACATTATTATGGGAATGTAATATATTATGGGAATGTTATATTACTTTGTTTAGTTTATTTAGTAGGATGTAAAATTACAGTGTTTGATTTGAAGAATATAAGATTATTTTAATATATATTTTACCAAATTATTCTTGTGATATATATATATATAAAAGTTAAACTTTAATATTAAATTATAAATATTTGAATAAAAATTTATAAATATATATATATTTTTGTTGTCCTATAGTTCCAAAGCTTCGCCCTGATTATTGGACGACCTGGGCTTTGGTGGCTGAGTCTTTCAGCGGAGATTTTTTTTGCATACACAAAGACTCAAACCTGAGACATTGCTTAAGCGATATCAAGCTACTTATCACTTGAACCCCGTTGGTAAAAATTTTAATATTTATACTATCTAACTTTTGAGAAAAAATACATTTAATATATAACTAGTATATTAAACTTATATTTTTAAATAATTTTCAGAATCATCATATTTATTTATAAATAATATAATATAATATGAAAAAAATAATATTATGATCTCGAGTGGATATTCTTCAATGTATAAGATCTAATTTTTAATAACTTAAAGTTAGATATTATTTTAAATAATTACATTTTTACAATCATATTATTTTTCACCTCATAAAATTATAAATAATTAATATATTGAATATTAAAATATAAAATAATTTTAAATACTCAAATTTCTTAATATTTTACTTGTATATTATTATTATATTTATAATTTTGACTAAAGTACAAAAAATAAGAATTAAAAAGGATCATTATAAAAAGAATTCATTAGTCTCATGGTATTCTTGTCCAAAGTGGTAAGAATTGTCTAATGTCTAATAAATTTTGTAACATTACTGGAATGTAGCATTACTATGAATGTTGTATTATCTTGTTTGGTTTGTTTATTAGGAATGTAAAATTACAACGTTTGGTTGGAGGAATATAAGATTACTTGAATGCGTACTTTACTAAATTATCCTTGTCATATATATATTAAAAAAGTTAAAATTTGATATAAATTATAAATATTTCAATGAAAATTGGTAGAAATATATTAATCATTATATTATCTAACCTTTGAGAAAAAAAATCCATTTAATATATAATTAGTATCTCAAACTTATATTTTTAAGTAATTTTCATAAGCATCACATTTATTTATATAAAATATTATATAATAAGAAAAAACAATATTATGATCTCGAGTGAACAAATATACTATTTTTCAATGCATAAAATTATTTTTTAATAACTTAAAGTTATATATTATTTTAAATAATTACATTTTTACAATCATATTACTTTTCACCTCATAAAATTATAAATAATTAATGTATTGAATATTAAAAATATAAAATAATTTTAAATGCTCAAACTTATTAATATTTTACTAAATTAATCTCTTTATATATTATTATTATATTTATAATTTTGAGTAAAAGAAAAAAATTGAAAATATCATTATAAAAAGAATTCATTAAATTAGGTATATTGTTGTTTAAAATAGTAGGAATTGTCAAATACCTAAAAATTTGGAAGTAATGACATTCTCACCGTTTTAATTAATAAATGCTACTACCGGAAAAGATTAATCTATGCTACAATTGGGAAAAGATTATTCCCTACCTAAAAGTACTATTGTGTAAACCAAACGTAAAAGTACTATTCAGTAAAAGATTATTTCCATTGGTAACGTTATTTTTGACCAACCAAATGCCCCCTCAACATTTCTTTTTTTGGCTCGGGTACACAATAGTTATCACGAAAATTCATCAACAGCGTAAACACCCAATCGTTATTATCATTACTATAAACAGTGCATATATGTATATATATATTATCTAAACAACCCCAAACGTTCAAAAACTAAGCTTAGAAAATGTACCCTCCTCAATAGAATACATTTTTTGCATCCCATCCGTAAGAATAATCAGCTGCTGCTGGCTGAGTTTTCATGGCGACATTAAGGCTGTTGCAATTACCAGCATGCTGATAATAAGTATTATTCCCCTGCTGCTGGTTCCACCATAACCCTTCATTCATCAAGTACTCGTCTAAGAAAGAAGCAGCCTCTTCGGACATAACAGCCAAGCATGGATCCTCATGCCCAGTCGGTCGACCGCCATCTCCGGCTGCGGCAATCTCATCTTTATCCGGTGGCTGCTGCTGTTGTTCGAGCTTTAGCATTTGAGTTTTTCTTTTCTGTTGCTTCCGAGGGGACCTTTCCTTCTTGTTGAAGTGGGTTCTCCAATAGTTCTTTATCTCATTGTCGGTTCTCCCTGGCAAGTATCTAGCAATCGTGGACCACCTGTTCCATTTCACATAGAATTACAAAACACCAAATAAAAATAAGACAGAAAATCAAAAGAAGAAGAAGCATTACTTGTTACCCCAAATGGCATGCAATTCAGAGATGATCCCTTCCTCCTGAGGCGTAATATGACATCTCTTAAGACCAGGCCTCAAATAATTCACCCAACTCAACCTGCAACTCTTCCCACTCCTATTCAAACCTGATATATACATATATATTATTCAAATTAAATTGGCTAAATGATCCAAAAAAATATGTGGTAAAATTATATATATATATATATATAGAGATATCATCTAATTACACAATGTAAAACTTTTTAATTTTACGCAATTTAAGACCGAGTGAAAATAAACCTGTAGATTTAGAGACTGAACTCCACCTTCCCATGAAAGTTGACATATTCAGTCAAGAGCTTATCTTCCTCAGGAGTCCATGGACCTTTCTTCCATGCTTGTTTTGGAGCTCCCCAACCCATTATTTTCGACTATTTTCACACTGCTTTCACTTCACAGACTTACCCTCTTATATATTCCCTCAATTATGTCGATTCCATTTTTTTTAGTTTCATTGATGATCTCATTATACCACTAAGACGACATCTTTGAATCAAACTTTTGGGTTCTTCTTTTCCTTTGTTAATTATGTTTAGAACAAGTGTTAGATGTCTAGGTGCTTACCAGCTCAATCTCTTGCAACTAATTACAAATCACCAAGTGTTGGGTTATTCCACCCTATGATGCCATTTGATTTTGCATAGTACATGATTTAAATAGGGACTCAAACAAGATATGATTGTTGATCTTTTGTATTTTTTCTATTTTCTTTATTAATACCTTTAAAAATTGAAATATAAATATCATAAGTCACTTCAAATACAATTATTATATACCTACGATTTTCTTTAAAAGTAATTGAATGAATGTAATAACATAGTAACTTGATTGTATCCTCAACCATAATAAATACACATAAGTAAAAGTACATTTACAATGATAATTTGAATATCCCATGTCATTCATCAGGGCGAACTACGAATTTATTGATTTGAATATACCTTTAGGATTTGTTTATGGGGTAGAGAAGGTTCTAGGATGCCATTTTGGGTAATGGGTATTTGAATATATGATAAGGTATGATTTTTTATGACTCATCAATGCTACATTTGATCTCCTTACAACCATATACTATATATTTTAACTTATTTGGAATGTTAAGACCATAGTTTATTGGATTAAGTCCATTTTCTTAATAATGCCTATATATAGGCATTGACGTGTGAGGTTGAAGGTTATTAAATAATACTATTGTAGACCCTAGATTTTGTCCTCATCCCCAACAGCCTATACCTCGCCCAGCCTGGCTACCACAAGACCACTATCACTTGTTTTCCTGCCAATGCCAACGCAAAAAGGATGGGGTGCATGTGAATTTTTATCTAAAGCATCATCACAAATTGCATTATTTTAAAGTGTAAAATTATTGTGAAATTGGCTATAAAAGCCGAATGCATGTATGAACAAAGGAGAGGGGAACATGAAAAAAGGGAAATAATTGTAAGGGGAGTTCCTCTCGGTTTTTTCACAGATTTTCATCAATAAAAACACAGCAGTTGAAACATATTTTCAGCAACCCAAATCCAAAATCGAAAGCAAAAATCCGAAGGTATTCTGTTTTTTTAGTTTATTTGTTTAATCTTTAGATTGCAACTAAAAAAATCTAGTTTAGTATAATTCTCGTTCTTGGTTTATATATAAGTTTTTACGGTTTTAAAAATAATATATATATATATATATATATATGAGTTAGGGATTTATAATTACCTTGTTGACGTGGTGTTTATTGGGGTGGCGTTGTACTCGGGCGTCGCCGGAAGTCGAAGGGCCAACTTCTATGGTCGGTTGAAGCTTGTATGTTGACTTGGGGTTGTTTGGATTATTTATTCTCTGGTTTGAGTTGAGAAAAGAAAGGAGAAGAGTGAAATGGTGTTAGTTTCACGCATAATAGAATTGGGGAAATAAAAGTGTTTTTATTTTGATTTCGGGTTAACCTCACATAGGATCCTTCAATTTATTGCCATATTTTATATTGGTCTCTTAAAGTTTTGGTCTATTCATGTTTAAGTCACCCCAATTTTGCTTTGTTTTTACACATTGACCACCAAATCCTTGCGTCTAATCGAGTTCAGGTCCCTCTAATATTACATTGTTTTTACATTCTAGTCACCGAACCTCTATGTTTTTATTTTATTTTATTTTAGGTGTTTTATTTTCATTATTTTTAATTCAATCACAAATATGTTATATTTTGTAATAATTTATGCATGTAACTTTCATTTCCTTTATTTTAGTCACTATTAGTTTTTGATTTAGCCTCGATTATTTTAATTTTAGCATTTGGATCCTTGCTTATTTTTTATTTAGCTATTATTTTTATGTTTTCTTGCATTTTAGTCAACATAATTAGATTTTATTACAAATTTGGGCAACTGTATTTATTTTAAATTGTTTTTTGAGGCTCTGATTTGTTCATATTTATTTATTTTAACCTTATAGTTTCTATTAATACTATTTTCATCCTTTAATTTTCTATTTGTGCTATTTTGTACTTTACTTCTTTTTCTTTTGCTATTTAATCCCTTAAGTTTCTGTTTTTATTTTGCAGCTCGTTCCTAAAATTAGTTCGATCCATAAATTTTAATTATTTCCAATTTAACTTTTAGTTTGAATTTTCTTTTATTCATTTTAGTTACTATTTTTTATTTTGATTTTAATACTAACTCTTTGTGTTTGTTTGTTTTATTTTCTTATTTTATTTATGATCTTTTTAGGATAATTTTAATCAATCAAAGGTAAGTAATTTGAATTGAATTTCTAAATTTTAATTTTAATTTTAATTTTCGTAATTAAGACAACCGACAAATTAAATGGTACCAAAAGGGCATTTCAAGACTGTTAATCCTTCCTTGACTGTAACCGACTCTCGAACCCGACATATTTCTGGTAAAACGCAGATCATGTAAGATGGTATCCGATCAACCAAATTTTTTACGAAAAATAAATGATCGGTGGCGACTCCAATATTTTATTCCAAGTCGAAGCCAAATTCCGAGCCCACCCGAGAGGCTGTTGCGACAGCTTGGCGACTCCGTTGGGGACAGGTAAGTGAGTCAGGCCGAAAATAATTTTCGGTTGTCTTTTTATGCGAAAATGGTAAATTTTAATTTTAATTTATTTATTCGATTCCAATTATTTATTTTTGATTATTTTTCAAATAAATAGTTGTACTGACATTTTTTCCAATGATTTCAAGATTTTTAAAGTTTTCATCTAAGGCTCTATACCCGAGCTCCGAACCCTTTTAAGTGGGGGTGAAAGCGACACCTTCGTGGGAATTTATTATCCGTATGGGCCTAGCAAGTAACCTTCGTGATTCATATACCTTGTGCCTTCGTGTGAATTTATTCTCCTTATGGGCATAAGAGAATGTTTCCTCTCGAGTTTAACTTAGTCCACACAAGCTTGTAATGGGCTTAGGACTAAGGGTCTGGCAAGCCCAAGGGGGCACCAGCAAGGAGAACTCGGGTACCATTTTTTTAGAACCTAAACCGGGAGACTATAGAGAATTAGAGCCTACCCCGAAACCTTATTCCAAACCCTAGGCTACTTTCTTTTCTGCTTTACATTCTGTTCAAATCATGCGAACTAGATAAATATACGGTTAGGATTTGTTTGAAATTAGCATACGAGATAGAGATCATGTCCGGGTAGGAATAATAAGCATGTGGGGTAGATATCATGTGGGGTAGGACTTTTATTTTCATGATTGTTTTGATTATTATCTTTACCTCACTAACTCTTTTTATTTTTGTTCTCTTTTATTTTATTTTCATCATTTGCATCATTTAAAAGAGGTGTTGATCCATAAAAACGTGTTTGTTAAACATGAATAGTTTGCATTAATGGACAAAGGGTTGTAATACAAGAGATGAAAATGCAGAGGACAGTCTACAAGGCGACTATGTGCTACATTCAATCTAGAAGATGTGATGCCCACAATTGAAGAGTATATCACTCTGTTGCATTATAACTGACTCAGAATGAACTGGGTCTACATCAAGAACAATGAAAGTATATCTTTGAAGAACTGACTGGCAGAAGTTACAGGGACGAGATGAAGGTTACTGATCTTGGGAGTCCTTTCAAAGACAACAATGGCAAAACGATAGCTGAAATTGGAGACCATTGCTGACAAATTCAAGAAACAGACAAATAAACTTCACATAAGTCTTATAATTGAGGGCTCCAATGACATATTCGTTGGGAATAGGTTCAACAAAAGACAAATGCCAGAGATGTAGTCATTCGAGACTTCTTGGACCAATACAAAAAGTAACTCAACTTTTGCACGGTTCATCCAGAGAAGCTGGAGCGGTTCAATAGATTATTCAACTGGTGACAGAAGAAGGCAGAAGACTAGTCAACATGTCAGAAGCTGTCAGAATATTTTTGTCTTTTTAAAGATAAAACACTTTTGTCCCAATAAAGATTATTTATAATAACATGCATGTTTTCGGATCAATGCCTCGAGCATTTCATGCATTTTTGTATCTACATTTCATTTTAAGCATTTTCATAAACATGAAATTTCTTCATAGAGGATTCGATGCAGTGTTCTTAATCACGTGACACCACATGGAAGAAATATTTTAACAATTAAAAAACTGAAATCAGTACAGTGAGAGCCTAATCAGCTGATTGTAGGGCTAAACCTGCCAGGATGATTTGAGAAAAGAGTCTCCATATCCCGAGGGTTACGATGTTGATATCGTGCACAATTATCACACAGGAAGCTCCAGACATCCCTCTGAGAACGGCAAGACACTAAAGCTCAAGATCCAAAACCTGATGGATTCAGGGGCATGAATAATCGAAGAAAGGGACATTACATCTACAATTTACACTGAGAGCATTGTTTTGTTTGAACACATTTTTGATCTTTCATGTTTGCTTAATCTTTTAAACGACTGAATTTATGCTACATTCTAAGGTGGAATAATTGAGCAAATTGTAATCTTTAGTTCTTCGAATATTAAATGAATTGAGAATTCTTTTAATTATTCAAGAATTATAGATTTTTGACATATGGCAAGATCAGACCTTTCTTATCCTGTTAAAAAAAACAAAAACAAAAAAAAAATTGCTCGATTCTTTACCCAGAATAATCCATGTAGAGTTATACTGATACATTTGAGTCAATAAAGTCACACCATTGTCTTCTTCCACCAAAACCAACATTTTTACCAATAAAACCTGCAGACGTTGAATGCTCACTTGAACATGAACCTTCATACCAGAATAAAAAATGTGGGGCATCTTGAAGCAATCTTCTGAACAATTGATGCAAGTTGGGAACAAGAAGCCTAAAAGGAGAATTACTTCGAAATAATTCTATCATGCATTAATTACATTTTCTTCA